TAGCAGTGCCCAGCTCCTCCAGCTACCTCAGTCTCCCTGAATTGGGGGTCTTGGGCCTCTACGCCCCCCACCCTGCTTAGAGGCAGCCCCAACACTCAGGTTAATATGTGCCTGGCTTAAGGCCCCAAAGCAGAATTAGAGCCAGGAGGCTGTCAGTCAACGTTAATAACCTGGAACTCCCCCCTCCCCACCTTCAGCCTGATCCTCTGCATGGCCAGGGTGGCAGGAACTGCCTCCACCCTCGCCCAGTCCGCCTGCTCCTGGTTCTGAGCTGGATCTTTTCCTCTGTCTGGAAGCTGCAGGACTGGCCCACCCAGGAACCGCATCCCCGGGCTCTCGGGCCCCAACACACAGGCCTGCTTCCCCCACACCGTAACTTTATAACATCTGCTTCCCCCAAACCCCAACCTTCACAAAACTGGTGCTCAAGGAGCAAGGCCGTCCCTCTGCATGTGCCCACCTCAGAAGAACAGCATGTCTCAGGGTAACAATTGAGCAATACCGAGAATGGGGACCGGGAGGGGGTCCCCCAAGTAATCCCCTGTTCTCTCTGTAGGCAGAGAACCTGCTTTGTGCTTCAAGGCCAGGCTGGAGTCCTGGGGCGAGCCCTGACTTCAGGTGCCTGTTAATGCCTCTCAGGGTGACCTTGAGCAAGGCCCTCCCATCTCTGGGGCCTCAAGCTTCTCATCTGTGACACAGGGAGGAGACGGCTCTGATGAACCCTAAGGCTCATTGCTCTTCTCCACGTTCTGTGGGTCTGCGATACCCCCTTTACTCTGACCTCAGATGTCGGGGGTTCTTGGCCAATTCCAATCTGACTCTCCAAAGAGCCCTTATCCTCCATACCTCAGAGCCCCCAGCTAGCTTCCTTCCAACAACTGCCCCCCAGATGTCACTAGATGTACTCCAAGAAGCCCTCCTCCTGCTTCCTTCAGACTCGATCTCCTAAGGACTGGCTCCCATGGGTCTGGTGTCCCCAGCACCAAGCACTGTTCTAGGCACATGGCAGGAGCTCAGCTTCCCTGAGCGGAAAGGCCAGACACAGGCTGGCCTCCCCTACTCACCCCACCTCCCATCTCCTGACCAGCCTAAGATGCTCCCAGCTGGGGGATGGAGCCCCTGGCTTCCCTGCGGAGAGAGGTGAGAATTCGCTGTTCCTTGGGTTTCTCCACAGCCTGCCCAGTTCCCATGCACTCGTGAAACTGGTCGCTCTGGAGGCACCTTGCCACTGCAAGGCAGGGTGGTAAAGATTTTTCTGTCCCCAGCCTTGAGGTGTTTGTTTAAGTCACTGCCCAAAACATGATCCTGCCCACACCTTTGGCACAGGTCCCACAGAGAGCGCACTTGCAAGAGGCCAGCAGGTACAGATAAGGCCAGAGGCCCAAGGATGGACAGAGGTGGCAGAATTAGACTCCTTCTTGGGGGGGTAGCCCCAGTTTGGTCATCTGAAAACTTGACTGGACCAGCTCAAAAGTGGGGTGTCGGGAGGGCAATTTGTGAATGCTTGGGCTTTATCTGCATAATTCAGTAAATCTCCAAAACCTGTTTGGTATGAGTGAGTGAGTGTGTGCATGCATGCGTGTGTGTGTGTGTGTGTGTGTGTGTGTGTGTTGAGAGGTGTTGAACAACAGGGTTAAAGGGAATGACCAACCTCTGGGTCAGAAGGAAACAGAAATGGGCTTATGGCAGAAAACCTTTAGTGGGCTCAGAAGTCAGTGGGTTTGGGGACAAGCCGGAAACCCCTTCTAAAAATAGTGTTTCCAGAGGCAGCCCCCCTCCCACTTCCTCACAGCAGCAGCCGACCTGGGGTTTAGAGCTCGTGTCTCCAGGCTCCAGCCTTGGCAGGCCCTCTGTGGCCCCCCAGCTCCCCCCGCCCCGGGGGTGTCTGCCCCGACCTCTTTTCCCCTCAAGGGCAGAGAATGGGGTCTCTGTTCTGCTCTCCCACCGCACCCCATGGTCTAGACAACGGTGCCTTCCTTGTCTCCCTGTCTTCCCCACCAGCGTGAGATCTTTTCAGGGAAGAGGTTGTGTCTTATTCATCTCAGTATCCCCAGGACAGGTTAAGGGGTTTTAAGTGAATGAATGAGAAGGAATGAATGAACGAATGAACACAGCTTCCAGTCCTGGAGGGGGAGGTAAAGTAGCTTGCTTGCAAAGGAACATCTATTCTGCCCCCAGAGAGAGGTAAAGGCGGGATGCTCACCTGCTTTCACAGTGAAAACAATGATTTAACAAACCTCAAGGCTGAGCTGCCTGGGGAGCAAAACAGTAGGTAGTTTTTTTGTTTGTTTGTTTTTGCTCCTCTCTCTGTTTCTGAATCTCTTTTTCTGCATACTTTTACTGTTGCCATCTGCCCTCTCTCCATGTCTTTGTTTTCTCCCCACCAGCTCTACCTCTGTCCCACAGTTTAACTCCACCCACGATACCCATAACACGCCCTTTTGATCAGGGCTTCTCCCGCTCCTGTCCTCTGCTCATCTGACCTCCGGTCGGACTGCCTCCTTCCTGGGTCTCCCTCCCATAACCAGTCCCCAGATTCTGAGACCTCTGTCCAGCTCCCTTGGTGACTTTGTAGAAAACTCTGGGGTCATCTATCCTTCCAGTCCTAATTATACAAGATCTGTCCATCCCAAATTTCACCAAAACTGCAGGAGAGGGGTTGAGAGAGGACGGCCAATGAATTATTAACCCCAGAACCTATTCTGGAGGCCCCAGTCGTCTTTATCCAGGTTACCTTTGGAGATAAACCTATAAGGGAAACTGAAAGTGTCTAAAAGGTGGGGTCTTGGATAAGGTCTCATTCCTAGCTTTGCAGGCTCAAACCTAAAAGTGATACAGTAGACTAAGTGTAAGATTTGAAACCATAATATCCAGGCTTGATTCCTTCTCTTCCTTCCAGACCTTTGTGACCTAATGACAAGGTATTTCACTTGAGTCAACCTCAGATTCCTCAACTGAAAAATGAGAGCAACATGCCTATATGACATGATTGTTATGAGAATTAACCCAGATCACCTGTGTGAAAGCCAAATGTTACAATGGAAAGTCAGTCAGACTCAGGGGAGGCTGACTCACATTAACAAAACACACTAGGCCAATTGATAGACCAGAATGTCCATGGGCCAATTTAAAACAACAACAACAACAACAACAATAAATGTACCTGCAGGCAGCCCAGATGCTCCAGTCAGTCGGGCAATGCCTCTCTGTTCTCAAAGAACCAAATTATAACCAAAAGTTTCCCTGCCTGGCCTGGTGTCCCAGGAAGGGGATTTTAGTTGTGGGATCTTGGTAGCTCCTATCGCCCTGGCTTCAGGAGAGCCTGATGCCTCATCTACTTTCTAGGAATTGCCTGCCCAAAATTTAGAACAGGTTAAGCTCCCCATGCCACTGGACGAGGCTAGAGGTCCATGGATGGGGCCCTGTGCTCTGGCTCTGCTTTGCTTAGAGACTCCATCAGACCATCCTTCCCTTATTCCGTACGTCTGCTCTGACCTCCTACTAAGTGCAGGTCTGGGGCTAGGTCGTAGGGATATCCAAGTGAGCAAAATAGACATGCCCCGCCCTTCTTCTGGAGTTCCAGGTCTTTGGAGAAACGCTGATAATTGAATGCTTAATTCCCATCCGTCGTGATCAGTGTGTTGTTACCATGGTGAAGCAAGGGGCATCATGGGAACCCAGCAGCTAAGCCAGCGTGGGAGTCTGGGGAAGGGCTTCTCGAGGAAGTGTCCATACACACATCATCCTTCCTTCAGCAGGTAGTAGGGTGCTTGCATTCTAGCTCCCCGCAGTCACGTCCCGGCCCCCGGCTACACCCTGACAACTCTCAGTGACCTCTGGCGTTTCTCTGGTCCCCACGGCCAACGCATCTATGAACTCTCCCTTGGGTTGGGCTCCCATACAATTCATTCTTTCGTTGATTCAACAAATATTTATTGAGTCCCTATTATATGAAACTAGCTCCTTTTGCCTTCCCAGGGGGATTTTCACGCTGACTTCCAAGCAGGCCTTACTGAAGGATTCTGTACTGGTTTCCGCTCACCTCAGAGCCTCTGTTTTCTTCTGGAGGGATGGGAAGAAAATTCAGGACCAGAACTGACCCCAGGTGTCCCAAAGAAAGGAGCTCTTGGCTTCAGGGAGGGGCAGGGGGTACACTCCCTCCCAGGAGATATATCAAGAAACTCCCCCAGCCCTCTATCTACCCTGTCGGAGGCTCTCCCACAGTGCTCAGTGGGCCTGGGATGGGCAGGCAGCTCTCGTCAAGAAGGCAGGTAGCAGCCTGAGCAGAGCCCTGACCGGGCAGACATTAATTCCTGAGAGTGACAGAGGCCTGTGATTTAGAGACTCGCCGGCCTCCCAGTCACCTTACATATAATTGTGGTAAATCCTATTTCTTGAGCTCCTTTACCTAATCCCAAGCCCCATGTCCCCCCTGCACCCCACCTGGCAAGTTAGGAGGGCAAGGCGTACTTTCCCTGTGGCACTGGCAGACAGACCAAGGTGCAGAGCTGAGGAGTGCCTTAAGGTTGGGGACAGAACCGGGAACCAGATCTCCACGGCAGCCCCATATGTCCAGCGGGCCCTCAGCTATGGCTCGTCCCCTCACTCAGAGGTCTACTGCCCCCCAACACCCGCCCAGCTCTCCCTTCTTCAAAGCAAGCAGCCCCGGGACCCCACCCTTCGGGTGGCCTCAATGGGTTCCATTGTCCAAGAGGCTCTTTGGCTTGACCCCAGCCCTCTGAGCGGCAGGACAGCAAGCTCAGAGAGGGGTCTCCCTTGTCCCCTCCTCAGCCTCTGCCGGCCGCCTTGGGGGAGCCTGTGGGGCAGGGGCCCCACTGAATGTGACCTATTGTCTTCAGGGTGGATTTAGGAAGTGCCAAGCTCCCATCAAACAGCTCTGCTCCTCAGGTAAAACAAAAAAAGGGCTGTTCATTTAGGAACTTTTCCCCCTTATCTCCTTTTCCTATCTCCTCAGGCTTAGCTATGGTGTAGTGTTCAAAACCACTTCCCCTCAGAGCCAATCAGAAGCCGGGGCTCACCCCGTGGCCCTGAGGTAAAGTTATTTATAAACGCCTCCCTGGATTATTTGAGCAGAGCCCTTTTGCACACCTCGGAACACCTTTCGGCTCCCCGCTCCCCAGACACACCTGCAGCCCTGCCCGGCTGGCTCCTCTCACCCACTGGTAAGCACCCCTCCCAGGGCCTCCGCCATGGGGCTGGGGGTCATGCCTTGAGGAGGGCAGGCAGCGGGGACATAGAGACGAGGGCTGACAGGAGCCCACCGGTCACGGGGTAGGCTGTTGGTCAATCTGAGCCCATGTGGGAAAGCCGCTGGGGCCCCCAAGTGTGAGAGCAGCCCCCAGCCCTTCACCTCTGAGGGGCCCCCAGGGTCCTCCCTTGCATGGAAGGACCTCAGCTGCGGGGCAGGAGGCTGAAGGGGGCTGGTGGGATGGGAGCTCTCGTGGAGGAGGTCTGCCAGACCCCAAAACAGAGTGAGGGGAAAGAGCTAACTCGTTCCCAAGCGCCGCTTTCCTTCGCAAAGGAAAGAACAAAAATATTGGCTCTTCCTCGGAGCACCGGCCTTTGAAGTTGCTGGCTGCACCGCTCCCCTCTTTTCAAGTCTTGGAAGCAAAAAGCTCTTGATGCCTGGCTCGCTGGCTTGCTTCTGTGTGGCTGTCTCCCCCTCCTTTTGCCCCCCAGATGTTCTCTTTTACTCATTCACCTCTCCACCAGCTCAGGGCCGCTGTATGGGCGGCATAGGATCCCATCTGTCCCCATTAATCCTGAGAGGTTGGAGGAGGCGGAAGGAAGGGAGCCGGAGGATCAGGAGAGGGTCAGCAAGGGCACAGCTCCATCGGGCCGGGGAAACAGGACCCAGGGGACATGGTCCCAGGCAAATGCTTCAGCACAGGAGGGTAGGGATGAGGACAGTGGGGTGGGCCATCTCCATCAGCTCCCCGCTTCCTAACTTCTCATCCTGAGGCTGTGAGGGGTCCCAAGTCACCCTCAGACGGTGCCCCCATTCCTCCAAATCAGCCAGTGAGGTCCCCAGCCTAGGTCATGAAATCTTTCCTCTTTCTAGCATAAATTCCCCACTTACCCTTGGCCCCATCGGGTCTGAGCCACCAGGAGGAAGATCCACTTTCAGAGTGTGCCCCTCGGGTGGGAGAGTGTCCCAAGGAGGGCGAACTAAAGAGAAAGCTATCCCCCCTCCATGGCTTCACTCACATGGACAACCCTCTCCCAGAGCCTCACAATCCTCCCCACTCCCTCCTCACACCCAGAACCCCACAGTCCTGGTGTTGAGAACCTGGCAAAACCCTCCTCGGGCGGCATGGGCACTGACACACACCTCTCCTCCATCACCATAATGGCCTCTTCCGGGTGCTTCCCAGGCCTGAAAGACTGTTCTAAATGCTCATCTGGATAAATCCCTGGGGGGGCAGAGATGGACTCTTTCTTATCTCTTAATGTCCAGAGCCTTCCCAGAGACTGACACATCATCGTATTTAGAGAGTGTGTGTTGAACTGAACCAAACTGACACCGGTGAGCTCCCTGAAGGAAAGAGGGACCAGTTCTGTGCAGAAGAAACTCTGGACTCCTTGATCGAGACCAGCAGGGTCCTTCGCTGGTCTCCTTGTCCATTTGCCCACTTCCAAGTAAGACTAACCCTCCTCTCCTTGCAGACCTCTAGGAGTCTATTTTAAGTGTCTGTATCAGGGAGCCCATGACCTTGGTCGGGTCTCCCTGCTGGAAAGTGCTTTTCAGAGTCTGACCTCAATCCCTTTTGCTGGAGTTGGTTTTCTTCAGCCCAGCATCCATCTCCATCCCCAGCAGGGACAGCAGAGAAGGAGGGGAGAGTGGGCGTAGAGATAAGGAGTGGGATTTGGGGCTGGTAACTGTGAATCTCTAGGCTGCAAGTGTCCCCAGACGAGCCAGGGGACAGGAAGGCCACTCAGGGACATCTCCTCTTCCCCTTCAAGTGACTGATGAGGAAATCATGCCAGGGTAGAAAGGGGGTAAGAAATTTGCCCAAGAGACATGGGGACAATAAAATAAAAGGATATTGATAAAAACGCTTTGGAGACCTATAGCCTCTATACCCTCACCTCTCCTGTCAAGGACACAGTCCCCAGCTGAGACGCCAAGCCTCCTATCCCATCCCCAGCTCCCACCCACCAGCCCACTCAGAGATGGCACTTTCCCTGGGGGTCCTGCCCTGGATGAGGCGGGAAGCAAGCAGCCGCTAAAGCAAAGGGGAAACCTCAGAGTGACCTTTCCTTTCCCAGAACATAGTGACCGCCCAGGTCGGGACAAGTGATAAGAATGCCAGGGTGAGCTGGCCACGCCAGTGCTGCTCCTGTGCCTGCTCCCGTGCCTGGCACAGGTGGTCATCCAGGAACCCCCCCCCACCCCTCCCCTTCTCCCCCTCCCACACACAGCGGGACTGAGGAGGAAGTCAGCCTGGGCCACAATGACAGAATCACCTTCAGACCTGACCAAAACCCCACAGAGTGCTCTTGGCCTCCCGGCTCCCTAGATGTCCTGCCCTCATGTAAAGAGATGTTCTGCTTTTCTTCTCACCAGTTCTGGGAAATTTGAGAGGGACAAGGGCATGAAGAGGGAAGGGGTGGCCTGGCTGTGGCTGCAGGGACAGATAGGAAAAGAAAGGCCAAGAAAGGCAGAATGACCTGCCCGAGGTTTCAGAGAGCGGAGGAGAATCCTCCAGAGTAATCAAAGCGGAAACAATAAGGACACGCTCAGAATCTGTTGCACGCTCCCACAGGCACCGTTCCAAGCCTTTCTACGCATTAACTCGGGCACCATGCCCAAGCCCATCTCTGCCCAGTTTTGTACAGATGTAGACAGACCCAGTCAGAAACGTGCCGGGGAAGAGATACCTGTGGGCTTTCTTTCGCATGAATTCACTGCGGGGGGTGGGTGGGGGGGAGTTAGGATCCTGATGAGGGGCCCCAAAGAAGCCCGGGAGGAGCTCTACTCAGCCCATACCGCCCCACACATGGAGTCTATTTCCCCTTTGTTCCCCACCAGCTCCTTAGGGCCGCAAAACCCCTGAATCCCCCTTGCCCCAGATGTGACCCCATTTCCCTGCCAAGCCTTAGAAATTGTCCACACACCCACCCCTCCTACCCTCTGCATGCCCTTTCCTTCTGGCCCTCTACTTCCCTTAAACCCCACAGCTCTCCCCCGCTCCCCTGCCAAACCAGGTCTCTCCAGCAAATCGGGACCTGCCCCTCCTTCTCTCCACAGAGCAGAAGGCGGCAGGGGCACCCTTTTGTTCCTCAATATTGTCACATGGCACCTGCCATTTCTCCCTGATCCGGTGAGGGAGGGGAGGCGCAGAGGGGCTGACACTGTTTGACGAGAGAGGCCGGGCTCCTTGCTACACACCTAGGGCAACAGAGCCCTCGACTTTTTTCAGCGAGGCTGACATCACTCAGCAGGGCTGTGTTTGTTTAACCAGTGATCAAGTCTTCTGTCCCCTACACCTCTCCCTTTCTTGCTCCCTCTTTCACCTTCCCACCCCTAATCTAGCATTGCAGGAGCCCTCTACAGGGGTCCCTGGGAACCCCTTCCCTCTCCAGAGCCCGTGCCTCCTGCCACTTGGCCTCTCCCATCCCCCTCTCCCTCTCAGCCCACAGAACTGGCCCGGGGATGAAGTAACCCCCCTCCTAAGCCCCACCCCACCTCAACCCTACTCTTGGAATTAGGAAGTAGGACCGGGCCACCTCCTCACCAGGAGCTGGGGCAGCTCCCATGGCTGCAGATTTGCCACTCGGTCTGCCATTCTCCTGGGAAAGCCAAGGGCATGAAGAGGCGTCAGAGCCCCTACAGAATTCTGGAGAGGAGAGGCAGAACCTGGGAGTCCTGCCTCGTCAGCTGGGGTGTTCCAAAAGGAGTACTCTGGAGGCCACTGAGGGACGACCCCCAGAAAGCAAGAGCAGGGTCACCCCTGGAAGGTCGGGGACCCAATGGGAGCAGCTAAGATGGAGTCCAAGGCCCCCGTTCGAATCCCCACACCACCTCCCACTAAGACTCAGTCTCTTTATCGACAAAATGAGATTAGACCAGCCTCAGACTTAAGTTCCCTTCTAGACAAAAGTTCTGGAGTGGAGCTGGCTGCTGGGTTCCTCTTCTTTGGTGTGGTACCAAGTCGGGATTGGGAGAGCTCCCAGAGCCTTCTCGATTTCAACACCTTATTTCTTGAATGAAACAGGCAGAGTGTATGGGACCGGGCCGATTTTGCATTCCAGTTAAGCAAGGGAGTTTTTCTCCTCGGTTAGCCTGTGCAAGCGGGAACTCCCCTAGCATCTGGTCCCCATCCATAGGAAGCCTGCCACTGGGGCAGAAACAGTGCTGAGTCATCCCCCTCCCAGAAGGATTTCCACCACCACTCCCCCCTTGCCTCCCTCCCTTCCCTGGAAGTGACAGCTGGGAGTACCCAAAGCCAATACTGGTGTGCAGACTGGAGGGGCTCAAATAAAGGGAGGTCAGAGGAGAAAAAGAGATCCTAGGCCAGGATGGTCAGGAAAAGCTTCATAGAAGAGGAAGAGGAGGAGGAGGAAAAGGGCACAGCAAAGAGGCGAGGGAGGGGAGGGGAGGGGAGGAGGAGGAACGTAAGCAGGTCTTAAGGCTGGGCTGGTCTAGGGAGGCAGAGTGAGTCAGGGCATCGCAGGTAAGGAGGAAAGTGTGGACAGAGCACAGGGGTAAAACGGGGCCAAGCCTGTCGAGGGGGTTGTTGCTGAATGGTGCCAGGGGACCCAGCCAACAATTCTCCCAACTCCACCAAAACAGGGCCAGATGGTGAAAGGATGAACATGCCAAAATAAGGAGTTAGGGTTTGATCCACCTGGAAATGAGGAGGCTGAGGGTTTCTGATAAGGGGGTGTAGGCTGGAGCCGGGGAAATCAGAAGACTAATGCAATAGCCCAGGTGTGCGATAAGAGCTGAGGGGGTGAGGGACAGGAGGGACAGTGGAAAGAAATAGCAATGACATTTGGTGAAGAGCTGAAGGCGGAGGCCGGGTGGGGAAAGAAAGGGCAGGGACACATGTGGAGGTGGCCTGGGTGACAGGGAGGAAGATCCCACTGAGGAAATGGGGAAGTGCGGGGCGCTGGGCTAGCAGGGCTCTGTGGAATCGGATGTTAAGCCCCTCCCCCGCCCACTAGAACTTAGAATCTTTGAGAGCAGCCTGGGAAGGGGCTTCAGGGGCCCCCCACCACCTGCCAGGGGCACGGAGGCAAGGTCTCCCACTACCCCCTCTTCCAACGGGCTCTCCCAAAGGGCTCTCTCTTCGGGTCCAGCTCCCCTTGAACATCTTGGCCATTCCTTTGCAGACAGTCTGTTTGGTGGTGGCCGGGGACAGACCCCTTCCTCCAAACCACAGTCCTTCTCCCAAGCCGGGCTGGAGCTCTGGTTCCTCTGGACGGTCATGCTCCTTACTCATCGCTCCCAGAGGGCCAGCCAGGGAAGCCACTGGAAAGCTAGAGCCTCGAAGCCCCTGGAGAGGGTGGGGAGGAGGCGGGGGAAGGGCATCCACCTCACTGGAGGGTGAAGGGCTGGTTGTCTTTCAGTAGTCTCTCCCAAGACGAAGGAAGCACCCTCCCACCTTAATAATAGTAATCATCACCGTTACCATTTACTGGGCGCCTGGGAAGCCCAGCCACTTCGCACATGCGGTCTCATTTCGTCCTCACAGCGGCCACCCGGGACTGTTATTATCCCCATTTACAGATGAAGAAACTGAATTTTTGAACCCAGCTCATTCTGGTTCTAAAGCAGGTGCTGGTTTTCTTTACGCCACTCTGTCTCTTGCTTCTCCCACTGAAATGTCTCTTGTGTCATTCCTCTTACTCATGTCTGCCCATGTCTTCTCCAAAACACCATTTATTGATTCGTTCCAAAAGTATCTGGTGAGGATGCACAGAGCGCCTGGCGAGGGGCTGGGCATAGGCACTGTGGGCAGTTTCTCTCCCCAGTTCCCTCCCAGCTGGCTATCACCCTGGGGGTTTGCCAGTTATCCCACCTTTGCTTTTAGGCTCTTTTTTTCTTTTTTTTTTTTTTAAGATTTTATTTATTTATTTGAGAGAGAAAGAAAAAGAGAGAGAAAAAACATGAGCAGAGGGGAAGGGCAGAGGGAGAGGGAGAAGGAGGCTCCCCGATGAGCAAGGAGCCCAACGTGGGACTCGATCCCAGGACCCTGAGATCATGACCTGAGCTGAAGGCAGATGCTCAATTGACTGAGCCACCCAGGTCCCTCTACTTATACGTTCTGACGGGCTTCAGGGTCCCATGAGCAAATGAATGGAATTCACCAGCCCAAACTTCAACAGCTTGGGTAAAATCTTACCAATAATAGCCACTCACATTTGCCTCGTTTTTTGTACATTTTAAACATCCCTTTCTTGCCCATAACTCATCTGGTGCTCACAACCCAGTGAGACAGATATGTTACTCCCATTTTACCGACAAGGAATCTGAGGCTTAGCGGGGTGATGTCTGTTCCCGCTCACCAGTAAAGCCAGGACCAGAAGCCAGGTTTCTGGACCCTTGTTAATGTACTTTCCATCTCTCTGCCATGGTCTCTTCCACAAAAGTCATCCACCAGCCTGCTCCCCTCCGACAAACCCTATGCACCCAGGTTCTCCCAGAGGAAGCCAAGGGTTGTCCCTAGCCCCCTAAGTGGTTTCTCACTTTCAACCCTATTTCCAATCTTTTGTCAGACTGGCCATGGTCACTCCACACTCCCCACCTCCTTCCTTCAAACCTGCCCTACCTCTTCCCTCTCCCTCCTTCCTCCAAGGTCCCCCCACGGGGTTCTCCCAGCTGCCAGGAGCAGGGGACAAGAGGAGGGACCAGTCGTTGTAGGAAGGATGGGGGATGGTTCCCACAGGGAGCTCCTCTGGGCCTCAGGGGCCCCGGCACTCAGCTCTGCCCTGCTCAGCTCCTGGAACATCAGCAGCGTTGCGCAAAAAGCAAGGAGGAGAGAAACACCAGTACACAAGGGTGGGGGAAAGGTTAGGCCCAGGAAGCCGTGGGAGAGCCAGCCGGTTCAGACCATCCTGATTTCCCCAAACGCGCCATTATCCCCCTGGGAAAACCTGTTGGTGAAGTCCGAGGTGTCTCTTTCAAGAAGGGTCCTCCTGAGGTCATCTCAGCCATCCCCCTGCCTCCAGGCAGGCCATTTTCTCTATTTCCCCCAAGATGACTGACTGAATGGTATGAGCCTTTCTGCCAGGGAAACTGAGGTCTGGAGAGGGTGTCCTGAGGCTCGTGGGGGCACCAGGGCTGGGGCTGGGGGCGGGGGACAGGACCAATGGGCTGATATCCAGCTGTGACTCCTGCCCTTGTACTCCCACCTCCTCTTTGCCTGGTGTGCGGCGGGGGTGACAGTGACGTCACAGGGGTGGCGTGCCAGCCACGTGCTGGGCGCCAAGCAAAACAGCCAGGGCAAGTGTGTGCCTCATCAGTGCCTGGGAAGGAAGGCCACCAAAAGAAGTGAGTCTGGTGGAAAGACCTGAAAGCGGGAAGGGAGGCACCTTGCTGGGTGGGGGCGGGGAAAAACCAGGATAAAAGCCTGCTTGGCCCGAACTGGAGAGAGAGAGAGAAGGCCCGAGCTGGCGCTGGCCAGAGATGCCCCTCGTCTCCCCCTCCTCTGCCTCTTCCAAAGCTTGTCAATGCCCCAGACATGAGCCAGCCCAGGCCCCGCTACGTGGTAGACCGAGCTGTATACTCTCTCACCGTCCTTGATGATGAGTTTGAGAAGAAGGACCGGACGTACCCCCTGGGAGAGAAACTTCGCCATGCCTTCAGGTAATATGGCCCAGAGCCCAGATGCCTCTTTCTGCTGCTCCCCACCAAAAATCCCTTCTGCACTGGGGTATGGCTCCTGTACCTGTACGGCTGAGACAGGGCTGGGGGAAGCCATGGGGAGGGAAGGTTCTGGAACCCTGACTTTAAAATCCTACAAGCTCTCCTGGACTGACGCCCACACCTGGAGTGGGGCCGGGGGGGTGTGGGGGAGGGACTAGCAGCCCCAGTTCCAGAAGAGCTGTAGGGCATCTCCAATCCCTGGCATGAGATCCTGCTGTATTCTCTGTCCACTCAAGTCTCTCTTGGGTTCTTAAGGGAGCTCGAGATGGGCGTGCTACCCCAGGGGCAGTGGGGTCATCAGAGCCCTTCCTTTAATGTCCTTTTCCTCCTGATCAAGACAAATCTGAAGCCGTCACCACTCCCTGCCCTTTGTCCTCTTTCCTGCCTAGATGTTCCTTCCTTCTGCGGATCCAGAGATGGCCCAAAGGCAGCCCCTAAACTCCCGGGCTTTCCTAGAGGGGCCCTACCAGGATACGGTCCTTCCAGACCCCTGGGCTCTTTCCACTCTCAGATCTCTGGCACTGTGCTGGGGGGTAGCAGAACCTCACCTCCAATGGGGGTGGGGGGCTTCATGAGATGATCTCTGCTCATCCTGCAGAAACCCGAGGCTATGAGCTTCACCTTCCCTCTTCCTACACTCCTGGCAGACCTTGCTCGGGCCTGGCTGTGGGCTGGCTTGCTCTTCCTCACGCCCCTGGGGAAACAGCTGATTCAGTTACCTGGATTGAGGTCACTGGCAATGGCTGAAGTGGAGATGCTGGTGGAACTGGTTTAGGCTGGGGGAATCACCCACTGGAGTCTTTACTACTAGCCCTGGTCCAACCCTGCTTCTCCCAGGAGGCTCCTTTCTGCCAGGCTACAGCCAAAGCCTTGGGTGTCCAGTGCCGGGGCACCGTACCCACAGCTGGGCTCCTCGGACAGGCGGGCCCTAGCAGCCTTGGTTCCCAAACAGCTGGAGTTTGGGTTGTTTCTGTGCTGGAGGGTTGAGGGTATCTGCTGTTGGCCAAAAAGATTATAGATTAAAACTATGAAGTGGTAGAGGGAAACTAACAATTCCCACGAGGCTGGCACTGAGACTTAAACAGTGCCTGACACCTAGAAGGTGCTCCAATAAATATTTGTTCAATGAAGGAATGAATGAATGGCTAGAAACTAATCCCTCTGTCCACTTCCCTCTTGGGCTCTGAAGCCTCTGTAGAGGTGTTTGGCATTTGTTTCCAGCCCTTCTCTGGGGCCTCAGATCGCCTTGCCCAACATATGGCAGGCTTGCCGCACAGCCGGGCAGGTATGAGCCCCAGGGCGGTGGTGTGTCTTCCCCTAGTCAGCTCTGTGTTGGGGAGTACAGTTTCTCTGCCACCAATGAACTTGAGTGAGTTCCCGCAGGGCTGGGTCTCCCTTACGACAAAGCTTTAGAGATGCTTTCAGCTATTTGCCACTGGTCCAATGCCCTGTCCACCATCCCCAGGATGGGAGAGGCAGCCACCTGCCCCCAGAGGGTGTTGGTGGTGATGCCCTTCCCAGAGTGGAGGCTGGGACAGAAAATCTGTCCAGCATTGTACAAAGCATTGTCTGTATTGATTTTAGTCTTGGGTGCCATCCAGGGGACCCAGGATCAGGGAAACTATTGTTGAACAACAGCAAAGAGCCCGAATTGGTGCCGGGAAGGAAAGGAGTCCTAATCAGAGCAGGCCAGTGAGTCACCACGTGGGCCCCGAGTATTTGAGTTCCCTCAACTGGGAGAAGAAAAGCAAATGCCTCCCACCTCCTTCCAGTCATCAATCCACAAGCTGTCACCCACGAGTTTGTAGGCCCTTGTTCCTACCTCTCCTGAGTTTCGATGAAAAGACCTCCAGGTGTTCAACAAACAGGGAAGGAATCAACTTTCCCCACCCTGCCCTGACAAACGAACAGCTCCCCGATTCTTTCCGCACCCCCGATGAATTAACAGTAAGAAGAACTCCAACATCGGAGTCATCACACATGAGGGACGGTGGGTCCGCAGAGCATACTCTGCAAGCACAATGGAGCTTTCTTTGGGGGGCTGTGCTGAGAAAGATGGCGGTAGCCCCTACTCCGACTGAGTTCCAACACCGGCCCACCCTCTCAATCATCCATTCATTCAGTTACTCCTCAAATATTTACTAAGCAGCCCGATACAATGTACAAGATACACAAGATGAACAAGACAGCCAGACTCTTGGCCATGGTGGGGTTTGCTGTCCAGTGAGAGCGAGAGATGAAAAGCAAGTAATTACAACGGGGTGTGTACACCAAGCTGCAGAAGCTCAGACCTGGGTGCCCAGCCCTGTGTTCCGTCAGACTCTGGAGAAAGGCCATCTGAGATGGGGGCTGGACCCTGTGGCTTGGAAGGCTAAGCGACCCCAAATCCATGCCTTCACACCAAGTCATGTGATGTCCTAGGGGAGCAGCCAGCTTCGGAAGACGCCCAGCTAAAGCCCAGGGCTTGTGGACGGCTCCCTAAAGAAAGCCCTGCCCCTTCTCCTCGGTGTCCCCGGCATCAGGCCCAGCGTGGGTGCTTACTGAATGCTGAGTGAATTCCGAATGAATGAGTGGATGAATGAATGACCAGGAATGGGACCTTGTAATCCCTCTGCAACGCAGAGTGTCCAAACCATGCCGTGCTGACTGGAAGCCTGCCCTCTTCCCTCAGATGTTCCTCGGCCAAGATCAAAGCTGTGGTGTTTGGGCTGCTCCCTGTGCTCTCCTGGCTCCCCAAGTACAAGATCAAAGACTACATCATCCCCGACCTGCTGGGCGGACTCAGTGGTGGATCCATCCAGGTCCCACAAGGTGAGGGGTCCATGCCCTAGGTGGGCTTGGCCTGCCGCTCCCCGCTCCTTCTCTCCCGGCCCCCTGTGACCTCCACAACCCAGCCCTACTCCTGAGCCTGCAATCTGTTTGTCCTCTGCAGGCATGGCATTTGCTCTGCTGGCCAACCTTCCTGCCGTCAATGGCCTCTACTCCTCCTTCTTCCCCCTCCTCACCTACTTCTTCCTGGGGGGTATACACCAGATGGTGCCAGGTAAGGCCTCTCCCCTCTCAGCGGGCAAGGTGGCCTGGACCCCGAGGACAGGGGGCGTGGCAGAGGGGTTTCTGTCTTCCATCTGCGTTCTCCTAGAGCGGGTGCCCGTTGGTCCCAAAGGGACTGTCACTGTGAGTGTCATTCCTAGGTCCCCTGCGACCTTAGAGAAACCGCGGAACTGCCGTGAGCCCATTTAGCACTCCCTGTTCCGTCCCCCTCCCCGGAATGTGGGGAGCACTCGGTGGACCAGGATATACTGTGAGCCCCAAAGTGCCCAACAGACGTGGGAAACTGCCCCATCACTCTCACGCTGGTCCCTGCAGGGACACTTGGCGCTCTCTGGTGCTAAGTGACGGGGAAACAAGGGGCCTCCTCACAAGGCCTGCTTCTGGGTCAGGCACTGCTTGCGTTTCCAAGCTCATTTCTTCATGCGCCCGACGAAATCACACTAGCAGCCCAGGTGAAAGCATCTTGAAAGTGCAGGTCACGGTTACGTGTGAGCGGCTGTTGTGTTGCTGGAGAGGAACGTTGGAGGTGGGGGGACCCATCCCTCCGGGGACAGGGAAGCTCTGCTGGGCCCCTTTCTGTTGTCCAGGGCTGTGGTCCAAACCTCTGACTCGCTGGCTGGGTGGGCACCGCAGGTACCTTTGCCGTTATCAGCATCCTGGTGGGTAACATCTGTCTGCAGCTGGCCCCAGAGTCGAAGTTCTGGGTCTTCGACAATGCCACCAACAAGAGCTACGTGGACACGGCGGCCATGGAGGCCGAGAGGCTGCACGTGTCCGCAACGCTGGCCTGTCTGACGGCCGTCATCCAGGTGAGGGGACGGCCACGTCCCTGCCGAGGGCTCAGCCTTGGGAGAGCATCTTTTCCGTCCTGCCCCTGCCTCCAAAGCCTAGTTTTTGACACTGAAGCTGATTCAAGACTCTACCTCCTCCCACTTCCCCATTCCCAGGGCCACAAAAGACCTCCAGAAATTGGTGTCTCTCCTCACCTGCCTCCCGCAGGTCCCTGAGACCAGCATCTGCCCCTGGTAAAACTGTCCCGAGTCCTAGACTATCCGGAAGGCTCACCGACTCTCTCTGCCACCCTCTCCAATGCCCGTCCCTCTGCCAGCACAGTCGTCCTAGTTCTCTAACATCCCTCACCCCTCTCCACCTCCTCTACCCCAAGCCACAGCCTCACCTGTTCCACATCAGTTACACAAATGGCAGAGGCCTCTGCTAGGTTGTTTGTTTGTTTTGGTTTTGGGGGTTTGTTTTTTTTTTTTTTTTTTTGCTGGGGGGTGCTTGGTGTTTTTTGTTTTAGGATTTTATTGATTTGAGAAAGAGAGAGACAGCATGAGCTGAGGGAGGAGCAGACAGAGAAGGAGAAGCAGACCCCACCCAGCAGGGGGCCCAATGTGGGGCTCCATCCCAGGACCTGAGCCGAAGGCAGATGCTTAACCGACTGAGGCACCCGGGCGCCCCTCTGCTAGGTTTTATGACGGGAAACACTGCCTGGTGGGACACTAGAGCAGAAAGCAACCAACCTCAGACAACGCCTTTAATTCGTCCGCTCATTCAGTTAATGTTTCTGGTTGCTTCTCTGTGCTAGGAGCTGGGCTAGGCCTCAGGGGAACAATAAGCAGAGAAGGGGCCCGGTTCCCCAGGAGCTCCCAGCCCAGCAGAGGAAGTAGTCGTGTCAACAGACCAACGTGTAGGCCGTGAGATAAGCTGCGTAACAGAGCTGTGTTCAAAGGGTGTGGGAGCAGCGAAGAGCGAGTCGAGAGTTGGGGAAGGCCTCGCCTCAGAGAGGAGGTGACATTTGACCTGAGTCTAAAGGATGAGTAGAGGTTGGCCGGGAACCGAACAAAAGAGGCGCAGAAGGACAGTCCAGGCAGAGGAAACGTACCCCAAAGCATGGAGACCTGAGGGTGTGAACTGACCAGGGAATGATGAGGCAAGAAGTCTGGGGTGGCTGGACAGCAGGTGGCTTTTGGGGATGGTCCAGAGACGGGGCTGGAAATAGAGGCAGAGGCTAGACAATGGAGGCTGAGGTCCGTCCCCTACACAGTGCCTTTGGGTGGGATTGGCGGTCTCCAAGGTCATTCAGGCCACAGAGAGGAGAATTGGGAAGTGGTTTAGAAGGACCAAAGCAGGGCCTGTCAGGAGACTCTGCAGAGGCCCAGGCAAGACTCACGAGGGCTAGACCAGGGTGGCAGTCACAGAGAAGGCCCCCGCGACAAGGCGAACTTATGGAACATTTGGCCAGGGCCGTTAAAGGCGTTGGTGGTAGGCTGGATGTGGGGTTGAGGGAGGATGACCCCCAAGTTTTTGGTTAGCTCACTGGGTGGATGGTGGTGTCGTCTACTGAGAGAGGAGGGGCTTCTCTGGGGGAGGACCTGGTGTCTTCTTCAGATAAGAAAACCAAACCCAGAGAGAGGAAGCGACAGAGAGGCCTGTTCCCCCAAGCCGACTCGGGATCCGCCTGGCACAGCAGAGGGCCAGACCCTGTCATAAAGGGCTCATTTCCCTGGGGCTGCTGCCTGGAACTCCAGCGCAGGTTTGGGTCCGGCCGATGCAGGCGCTGCCAACCCCTCTCGTTCATCCCCCCCACCCCCACCCCTCTCGTCTCAGATGGGCCTGGGCTTCGTGCAGTTTGGTTTTGTGGCCATCTACCTGTCCGAGTCCTTCATCCGGGGCTTCATGACGGCGGCCGGCCTGCAGATCCTAATCTCGGTGCTCAAGTACATCTTTGGACTGACCATTCCTTCCTACGCAGGCCCGGGGTCCATCATCTTTGTGAGTCTAGGAGACATCCCTGCAGATGGGGAGGGGCTCAAGCAGGCACAGAGCAGGGGTTACTGTTGGAAGAAGCTGTGAGCTCCTCCTTACACGATGTACGGAAACAAGGTTGACCCCCGGTTGACCCACGGTTCCGAGAGGATTCTCTGGGGGCTCCCACTTTGGGAGCAAAGGTGAAACCATGACCTTGAGGGCTCACTGAGGCTCTCTCTGGTTAATCCCTGAAGAAAAGGAATTGTCCATTCTCCATCAGTTCCTTGATGTAGTGCCTCAACCCCTCCTTGCCTGGGAATTCCTACCTTACATCTTATCTCCAACTCTCTTCCTTGAGCTCAGATTCTTTCTAGAGAAAGAGAGAAAAAGAATCAGCATTCCCACACTTTTGCGTGAACTCCCAGCAAACCCTTTGGGAGAGGCAGGAGGAAAATGGGAGCTGTGGGAGACCAGGGTCTGAATACTGCTTTGGTGTGCCTCCATTCACATTGATGACATCCTTCCACTGGGTTAGACACCCAAGGGTGGGGATAGCACAGGAAGAAGAGGTGGGAGTCCATGAGCATGGCGCTCTCTCCCCCAGACCTTCATTGACATTTGCAAAAACCTCCCCCACACCAACATCGCCTCGCTCATCTTCGCCCTCATCAGTGGCGTCTTCCTGGTGCTGGTGAAGGAACTCAACGCTCGCTATATGCACAGGATCCGCTTTCCCATCCCTACAGAGATGATCGTGGTAAGGACCCTGTCTGGGGCTGGAGTGTTGGGGGCCAGGCTGGAGAGGCCATGAGAAATGGAGTTCAGCTCCACCCAAGGCCAAGGGAGCCCCTACCAACCTTTGCCTCCCCCTCCACTGGCAGTCAGTAGAACCGGAGGTTGGGTAAATCCATTCTATCTCCCTGTACATGGCTCCCACTCTTCCTGCTCCTGGGGTTGTTCCCCTTTGATGGAGAAGGAGAGTTGGATTTGGGGTCCCCAGAGAAAAGGGAGGCTTGGGAGAGCCCTGCCCTGCCCATCCCCATTCTGCAATTTGGGGTTTGCAGGTGGTGGTGGCGACCGCTATCTCTGGGGGCTGTAAGATGCCCCAAAAGTATCACATGCAGATCGTGGGAGAGATCCAACATGGGTGAGTCCGGGTGCCCAAGAAGCCTGCCCACCCCCCAACAACATGTCCTGCATGAAGGCCTGGGCTCAGAGACCCAGAGAGGACAATCTCGATGAGGAAGCACTGTAGACTCTATGACAATGACCAAGTGGAAGTGATTTCTGTTATTTGTTTTGGAAGAGAGCCATGCATGCAATCAGCCAATGCTAGCTGTATTACAAACAGCGAATCTTAACCACCATACAGCTCCCCAAATGTCCCACTTACTGGATGCTGCCAGAGCAAAGCCTCTCTGATCAGCCCTTTGCCGGCTCTTCGCCTGCTCTAATGTGTTGGAAGCTATTAGCCTCAAAACAACACATATGGAGCATCGACTCTGTGCCAGGCACCATGCCGGGCCCTGGGAGGGGGAGGTGGTGCCTGTGTTGCAGGGCTGGAGAGAAGGCTGGAGGGGGAGAGGGAGAGGGCGGGGAGTTGGGGATTGTGGATCTGTGGACTAGTGAGCACAGAGTCCAGAACCTGGGCGTGAACACTTGAGACCCCACAAATTACTGGCTTTAGGACCTCAGAGGAGTGAGTTTCTACGTCTTGGTTTCTGCTTTGTTGACGGGAGTGATGGCAGCTGCCCCACAGGGTCATACTGAGGACGTAGACCCAGGCACACTGTGGGGCCTGGCTGGTCCCTGTGGGTTGAGAAAGGACTCACCCTCCTTTTCTCACATTTCCGGGCCCTGCCTGCTCTCTGGCTCCTTGGCAGGTTCCCCACTCCCGTGTTGCCTGTGGTTTCCCAGTGGAAGGACATGATGGGCACGGCCTTCTCGCTGGCCATTGTGGGCTATGTCATCAACCTGGCCATGGGCCGGACCCTGGCCAGCAAGCACGGCTATGATGTGGATTCGAACCAGGTAGGTCCAGCCACCGCCGGCAGGGCAAAGCAGGACGGGCCCCATCCCACAGATGCCTGGCGACAAGTACTGTGGGGCTCCTGGGGCTGTGGTGAGCAAGGTGCCTGCCGGTGAGCAAGAGGGGCTCGGACCACAGGAGGCTGCCTTCAGCTTGCTTGGGAGTGTCTGGCCTTCTAGCTGTAGGGTCATTCTCAAGTCCGAGGCCCAACATCCAGCTTGCATGGATGACTATGTTTGGTCTCTACCTGCTGCCCGCCCCCCATGGCCCCCACCTCCGATCCTGCCCCTGTCCCCACAGGAGATGATCGCCCTGGGCTGCAGCAACTTCTTTGGCTCCTTCTTTAAAATCCACGTCATTTGCTGTGCCCTCTCTGTCACTCTGGCTGTGGATGGAGCTGGAGGAAAGTCCCAGGTGAGTGCTGTAGCAGGGCATTTGGGGGGAGAGGTGAGAGGGAAACAAAACAGCGGCCCCAGAGAAGCCGGGGCATCTGCAAGCTGGGCCAGCTGCTTCTCCAACCTTTTTCTCCCCTCATCGGTCTCCACTCCACCAAAGGCATCTATTGGAAATAAGTCAAGAATGAGAATTTCACCCCTATGCCCTGTTCCCAACTCTTTCTCCGGAACAGGTGGCAAGCCTGTGTGTGTCCCTGGTCGTGATGATCACCATGCTGGTCCTGGGGTCCTATCTATACCCTCTCCCCAAGGTAAGAGTGCAGCGGGAGAGTGGAGGCAGACAGGAGACTCCAGTAAGAACAATCCCTAGGCATTGTGTAACCCTCTACAAAGTGACAACGTGGTCACGCTTTGTCCCGATCACAACCTGTGAAGTAGACAACACAGGGTTTACTTTCCTCCTTTTATAGGTGAGGGAAACTGAGGCTGAGGAAGTCTTAATGATCTGTGGTGATACAGCTCATAGCGCAGGGCTGGTCACCAACTCCAGCCTTCTGACCCCAGTGTCAGTCCCCCCACCAGTGTTTACAAGTACTTAGGAGTGTCTGACTCAGAAGGCTCTGGGCACCGGGGTGTTTGGAGAGGGGGGAGGGGTGGCATGGAGAAGGGCCAGGAGGGGGACCCACGGCCTTGGACCTGCACTCTCCATCCCTAAGATGGAGTGCAGAGATCTGGGGGCTCTGCCAGCAGAGATGTTCTGGAACTGCAGCTTTGTCCTGCGAGGCACCAGGGTCGGGAGTGTGTAGGATGGGAGAAAGAAGGGGGTCCCCCAGGTGAGGAAGAATGACATTCTGTTTCTCTAGTCTGTGCTGGGAGCACTGATCGCTGTCAACCTCAAGAACTCGCTCAGGCAGCTCGCTGACCCTTACTACCTGTGGAAGAAGAGCAAGCTGGATTGTGTAGGTATAGGGGGGCCTCTGGGTACCCCTCCAGGCCCCTGGTTCCCTCCTCCAACCCCACAGCCCCGTCAGCTCTTTCTGTCCGTGATCCTTTTGCTCTGCGGCTCCCTTGTTGAGGAACCAGCTACCAAGAGACCAGGGTTTGGAGTGAGACATCCTGTGCTCACACCCTATCTCAGCTGCTCACTGGCTCTGTGCTTGGCCCTAAACCAGCAAGTCCCCAGCAAGTCCCTTAACTTCTCTGAGTCTTGGCTTTCTCATCTGAGAAATGGGTATCTTATACTCTGTACCCACCCCCGCCCCGGGGGTGTTTATGAGGAAGAAATGAGATAATACAAGCAAGAAGCATGTTATCTGAATTGTACCCCGGGTCCAGTAAAACGTAGCTATGGTTATTTTTATGATCTGTAGTTGCAAAAAAAAGCAAAAGCAGAAAGAAATAGTTCTAAAAAAACAGTGACAACAAAAACCCTAGAACCTAAAGCCAGTGTACCAGGATCTTAAGTGAGCTGCCAGATTTCTCTGGAGTGCTGTTTCCTCCTCTGTAATGGGGATGACAGTCACGGCTGCATCACACACTGCGGTTGAGGATTAAATGAGATCATATGGGAAAGCACCGGGCAGCCATGCAAAGCTCAGCAAACATGATTGTCATGATTAGTCACGGTTCCAACGCATCTTGCGTTGGACAAGAGTATTAAGATTACCACGTACTGACAACTACAACCACCATCCCCAGTTAAGCTCCACCATAACTTATGAGAGGATTTACTGACTTCTCTTCAAGATGATGAAACCAAGGGGCCGCTGGCTGACTCACTCAGACAAACGTGCAGCTCTTGATCTCTGGGTCGTGAGATCGAGCCCCACATCGGGTATAGAAATGACTTAGATACATAAAACTTAAAAAAAAAAAAAAAGATAAGGAAACCAAGGCTCAGAGAGGTTACAGAACTTGTCAAAGGCCACGGGGGTGGTAAGTAGTAGTCAGGATTGGAACCCAAATCTTAGACAGGCAAACCTCTACGTTGTACTGTCTCCTGGGGTTGCCTGCATGAGGAAAATCCTTAAAGCCAGAGAAGTGAGCGGTCCATCTGGGGTCCCCCAGTGAGTGATGAGGATAGGGGAAAGTAATGTTCCAATGCCCACCCTAATGATCTGCTTTTTGCAACAATCCCCCACCATGACAATCGTCCCTGATATTTACATTGTGTTTGGGCTCTTATCTGAGCCTCACTGTTCTCTACAGGAATGTGGGCAGATTTGTTTCCTTTAGAGGAATTTGGGAGACTGTAAAGGACAATCAAGGGGTCCAACAAACAGCATCCAACCCTGCCCCCACCCACATAGCCAGACCCCAGGCGGGTAGGCGGGGAAGACCACTGAGACTGTGTCGGGCATACACAGCCTCCCGTTAGGTGGAGAAAGGGAGCTCACGCTTGTGGAGTGACCACTGGGTGCCCGTCGCTAGGCTAGGACCTTTAGGTGGCTTAGCTCTTTCATCTTTTCATGAAACAGGTGTCACTGCTCCCCTTTTGTGGGTCAGGCAACTTGGTTCACATCACTAGTGAGTGAGAGAATGAAACTTTGAACCCGGGTGGATCTGACCCTCATGCTCTCAGTGTGCTCCATGCTGCATCCCTGGATGGCCTGTCCGTCTCCTAAAAACCCAGCGAGCTTCCTAGCCACGCTCCATCTGGGGGAGACGGGCAAGCGCACCCAGAGCCGCAATACATAAGACAGGGCAAAAACGCTGTGAAAAGGGGAAGACGGGTCTGAGTTTGCAAAAACAGGCCTTGGCCTGTTGAATGGCCTTGGCTATTCCCAAAAGACCTCCCAGAAGAGGCAGCCTTCTCCCCAGGCCTGCTCTGACGTGTCTGTCCTCACAGTGTGTCTGGATGGTAAGCTTCCTATCTTCGTTCTTCCTGAGCCTGCCGTACGGTGTGGCCGTGGGCGTCGCCTTCTCCGCCCTGGTGGTGGTCTTCCAGACTCAGTTGTAAGTAACGGCCCCCCACCCCCGCAAGGCACAGCAGTGGGGCCCCCCCGCACCCAGGCTGGGCTGACTGACTGCCATATCCCAAAAGCCCCAGAGGAAGCCCTCCTGGGCTCGGAGGGCTGGGGGCCAGACAAAGTAGGAGAAGAACAGGAGTCTGTCCAAGGGCATTGCCAGTCCCTAGACCAAACGGGACCCTCCCCAGGGGAATACCAGGCCAGAGGACAGATGCCATGTCCTTCCTATAAAAAGGTTAAAGGGTACAGGCCAGGGGCACCGCAGGAAGAGGTTTCAGGCCAGGGCAGGAAGGATGCTCTATGTGAGGGTAGCACTGTCTTCTTTCCTTGAGAACCCAGAACCAGGAAGTGGTGACTTCGGGGCCACCCAAGCTTGTCACCTCACTTACTCTACCTCTTCTCTGTGCTGAGCCCCAGGCTGGGAGCTATGTCAAGGCCCCACCTGTCATCCTTCAGGTCATAGCCCAGCCATAGGGCACCAGGCATGTGTCTCCAGTATAGAAAGACCAACCCAGCTTGCCCGGGGAGGAGAAAGGGACCCCGTCCCATCCTGCTTCTGCCCCCCGCTCCCATCCCAGCATCCTTCCAGGCCCACTGGCTTTTAGCATGATCTTTTTTTTTTTTTTTTACTTCTCCTTGTTCACCCAGTCGAAATGGCTATGCTTTGGCCCAGGTCATGGACACTGACATTTATGTTAATCCCAAGACCTATAATAGGGTAAGTAATTCAAAGTTAAGACCTATTTCTTTTGCCCTGCCCCCACCCCAAAGAAAAGAGGGTTAAAAAAAAAAAAAAGCCAATAAAGACATGTCTGCCACCTGAACTCAGTCTCCCTGTCCTAGGTCCAGGAAATCGAAGGGGTTAAGATTGTCACTTACTGCTCCCCTCTCTACTTTGCCAACTCGGAGATCTTCAGGCAAAAGGTCATTGCCAAGGTAGGATTCAGGACTCTGGTGGCCAGAGGGGCTGATCAGAGAAGATGGGAGAAAGAGGGCTGGGAGGTAGGCCACCTCCAAAGAGGTCCAAACTGCAATTGTTCTCTCCCTGCAGACGGGTGTGGACCCCCAGAAAGTGCTGCTGGCCAAGCAAAAATACCTCAGGAGGCAGGAGAAGGGGAGGCTGAGGCCCACACAGCAGAGGAAGTCTCTGTTTATGAAAACCAAGGTGAACTGATGCTAGGAGGAGCCTATGCTCCTGGATCCTGCCCCCGGGGGCCCCCTCCCAGCACCCCTTGAAGCAAAGACATAAAGTCTCTGGGCATTCTTCCCCTTGGGTGAGGGGACCCCAGCTCCTGGGGGTAACCACAGAGCCCCATGGCCCATCCTCATTTTCTGGCTAAGATGGGATGTGGCGCAGAGACTTACGAACAACCCCAAATGGGGAGCAGCGGTGAATTTGCTGGGGTGCCCACCCAGGTTAGATGTGAGGGTGGGAGTTCTCGGGCACGGTTGTTTCCAGAGGCACTTTCTCCCACAGCGGAGTGGGCCGAGGTGTCCGCGCCTCTCCCGGATGCCTCCTCCAGCGTTGTCTGGATGGTGGGAGACTGAGCACACAGGCCCCGCCTGGGGAAAGGCCATTGGGAGGTGCCCTCCCTGCGGGTTTCTGGGGGCTCGTATTCACCACCTCGACATTCTTGACGTCACTGACCCCCACCTGCACATTCCTTGCCCCTGCCTCAACTATAGCAAAGTCTGATTCAGTTTGATGATGCCCTGCCCCCCACCCCCCAACCCCCAGACCGTCTCCCTTCAGGAGCTTCAGCAGGACTTCGAGAACGCCTCCCCGACGGACCCCAACAACAACCAGACTCCTGCTAACGGCGCCAGCATCTCCTACATCACCTTCAGCCCTGACAGCTCCCCAGCGGCCCACTGTGAGCCACCAGCCTCCACTGAGATGCCCAGTGAGCCCAGTGACATGCTGGCCAGCGTCCCACCCTTTGTCACCTTCCACACCATCATCCTTGATATGAGTGGGGTCAGCTTTGTGGACCTGATGGGCATCAAAGCCCTGGGCAAGGTGAGGCCCCAGGCAGAGGGAGTGCCAGCCCACCCTCCACCCCAACACCCTCCTCGCTGCTCTCCCACACTTCCTTTCCTTGGAGCCCTCATTTTGACAAGGGAGGTTTCATTCATTTCAAAAGGGAGCTTTCCTCCGGACATGACCAGGAGAGGCTGCTCTCTGCAAAGCAGGCCTAGACAGCCCACAGTGATGAGCAGCTGGAAAGGAATCCCAGAGGGATAGTTGCTGTCCCACCTGCCTTAGCCCCTGTCTCTAGCAGAGAGACATCCCAAGGTCCTTCTCAGGCCACCAGGAACCCACCCAGGGGTCCTCTGAGTAGAGTCCGGCCCGGCCCCGGGTCACGGTCTGCTGTTCCTTCCCACCCTCACCCAGACACTCCAACAGCAGCCAATTCCAGTCCAGTGAGAAGAGAAGACATAATATTAGTGCCCCACATTCTCAGGCCAAACCGGCAGTCCATGGGACACTCTGAGTAGAGGTATCTATCCATCTGATACCTTTTCAGCAATGCCTCCAAGGGTAGGGAGTCAGCAAGCCTCAGAGCTGGCTCAGATAGAAGCAGCCTGGGAAAACTGAGGCCTATGGAGAGCACAGAGACCGAGTATCACACACAGAGCATCTGCTGGGTGCCCGGAAGACCCCATCCCCAGCCGCGGGCTCAGCCTGCTTCCCTAGCCGGGACCTGGAGTCTAGGCCTGTCTCCAGCCTCCCCGCAGCTTCTGCCTGAAGCTGCAGTGTTGGGAGAGAGGTGAAATCCGGACATTCAAGCTACTAGGGAAAAGCTCTGACCCCACAAGAAGGGGCCACGGTGTCTTTAAGTGCCCGCCTCATTGGCAACGTCCATTTCTGTCCTGCTTTCCAGAAAAGCTGGCGGCCAGCACTCCAGGGAGAAGGGGTGTGCTTTGCTGCTATGTTTATCTCTGGCTGCCAGGATGCTTGGGGCTGCTTGTTTGTTTGGCTTCCCTTCTGAAGTGCGTTTTGTGAATCACTTTTGAGACCTACTCAGAACATTCCTTTCCTTTTGTCTCCCTATCCCAACACCCTTCCCCCAACACTTCTAGCTGAGCTCCACCTATGGGAAGATCGGTGTGAAGGTCTTCTTGGTGAACATCCATGGTGAGAGAAGGAGGACATTTAGAGGACCTGGAGGTTGGGAGTGGGGGGAGGGGAGGACCAGGTTGGCGGAACGCTGTGTGGGAGGGTGGACACGAGAGCACTCAAATATCTCCCCCGCCACCACCCCCCTCCCACCCACCGGCCACTGCCTGCGCCTAAGTGCTTGGAGCACAAGTCAGAAGAGACTGTGGCCAGACTGGGGAAACAGCCTAGAGGTCTCAGTAACGGAAGGAGGCGGGAAAACAGGGGTGTGACGTCTAAGAGGGACAACCGGGATTCTAATTTGCCCCACTACTAATTTGCCTGCATCCTTGGCCAAGTCACTTCATGTCTAGGCATCAGTTTCTACTTATGTCAAATTAGGGGGTTGACTAGATGAATTTGGGGTCTTCTCCAAACCTGTGAGCCCGTGAATGAGCAGATACCACACACGCATGGTAGCTCTCTGGGGAACACACAGGCACACTATTTTATATACACACCATCTCCGAAGGGTGCGTAGACATGGCCCTGAGGACATGTCCACAGAGCAGAAGACTTTCACATCATCTATGCGGATGCAGAGTGCGAGGTCTGAACCGAAAGCAAGGACACACAGACATATAACAGGACTGACGGGGCCCATACACCGCACTTCCTGCAGAGATCCAGTGCCCTCCTGGGGGCTGGCCCAACTTCAGAATTAGCCTGAGCAGGACCCAGGCTCCAAGGAACCTGCTCAGAGGGAGAACCTGCAATGGCAGTTAGAGTCAGTGGGCTCCTCCCTCACTGGACAGTCCTCCGGAAATCATCTCCAGCATTTGGTAAAAGTAAGGGCTTTTCCATGCATTGGAGGTTGTGGGAAAGGTCTAGAGAAACGAGAGGAAGAACAAACCATCCAGGGATAGAATTGCCAGCAGCCTCCTTGCAGACGGTGTAGCCTTTCCCTCTCAATCCCCACTAAGTACCGACTCTCTAAACCAGAGTCCCTTCTGCCCTGGGTTGGACGTTCCCATCCTCAAGCTCACGTTGCCCTCTGCTGTCCAGAATGGATACTGCAAGGCCAATGCCTTGGTCGGGCCTTTGGGAATGCCCCAAAGAGCACAACCCTCAGTCTTCTCTCTTTCCCTTCCTTCCCTGTCACCATCCTTCCTCCACCCCCAGCTCCAGACCACATGACTGTTATCTTTCTGAAAGCCTTTTCCTCCTTCCAGCCCAGGTGTACAACGACATCAGCCACGGCGGCGTCTTTGAAGATGGGTGTCTAGAGCGCGACCACGTCTTTCCCAGCATACATGATGCTGTCCTCTTTGCCCAGGCAAACGCCAGAGAAGTGGTCCCAGGACGTGACTTCCAAGGGGTAAGGGCCCTGCACGTTGGGAAGCCAAGGCCCTGGGGCACTGAAATGGCAAGACCGGGGGCATGAGAAAGAACATAGGAGAAGGTTTGGGTTCCAACACCAAGTCTGTCCTTTCACTTTTCTAAAACTGTCATTACAGAGTTCCTTATCTGTAGGACAAGCAGCCTAAATTAACTTTACCTACCTCACAGCGTTTTTCTTTTGCTTCCTTTTTAAGATTAACTGATAATCATGCCTTTTGTGTCACTTGAAAGCACTTTGTCTACTGTAATATGTTTTATTAGTATTAATTTCCAGGTCACACAAATACTCAAAGCATATTAGAGTATGCCCAGGATTCTGGCATTGTCTACCTGCCCTCCTCCTTCACTAGTTCTAGAAGAGGTTTGGGGCAAGGAAGGGGAGTGATTCTGCCCGTTTTAATCTAGCAGAGCTTAGAGGTTTCAGCCTGGTGATAGATGAAGAAGCTGGATCCAAGTTTGGTCTCAGTTTCTTGACATTTAATTTGTTAGCTCACTAAGTGGTATGCAAATGAACTACAAATCACACTGTCTAGAACTCCAGAAAGCTGGGAGGCAGAAGAACTCCACCCCACTGACTGGGGTCCCAGACTGGACCTCACCAGCCTCCCCCCCCATTCCACTCCCAGGGCCCCTCCCAGCTCAGCAGCCCCTGCCCTTGGCGTCCCAAGACTCCATGTCCCAGACCTCCTTATATATAAAACCTCCCCTGTCCTGGGTCATAAGAAAGGCTTTTCTGGCCCCGAAGCAACCATTTGTTCTTTGCTGTAAGAGACTGATGAAGGTGAAGCCATCTGTTCTAAGTGCTGAAAGACTGCCCAGGAAAACACAGGGCCCTGGCACCCGTCTTCCACTCTTAGAACAACTGAGCAGGAAGAATAGGCCTTTGGGTTCCACAGAGCAAAAAGAGGGAGACTGGAAGAATCCTCACCATTTATTACTGCAGAAATTATGCCCAGTTACGATGGTTATAGATCTAAAATGATTTATGGATGTAGAATGTATTTATATTTATTCTTACATATTACAAAATATATTCACATATACATAGGTGTATATATGTAAATTATACACACACGCACGCCCCTTTTCGACAGCATCGTGAGGTAGGAAGCCCACCAAGTGAGTTCAATCATCCTACTTTTGCAGATGAGGAAACAGATTCCCAGAGAAGGGAAATGGATTCCCCAAGGTCAGGCAGCTAGCCAGTCGTCCTTGTCAATTAGCAACCTCCCCTGCCTCTAAGGTGCCCACAAAGGAGGGCAGCCCCAGATGCACCCCTCTGCTGTAAGGGGGAGGGCCACCCATGCTACCTTTTGTGAGGTAGATGAGGGAGGGGAGGGAAGAAGCAAGAGGGCAAGTCATGTGGCAGAAAACATGGTGCCCCTCTGGAGGCTGCCATTTGCACCAGACTGTGTCATCCAATCATGGAGCTCATCCTGCACCCATCTTCCCCCCCTTCCAGGCTCCAGTGGACCCGGAGCTGTCCTTATATGATTTGGAGGAGGATAGCCCCAGCTACTGGGACTTAGAGCAGGTGAGCTGAGGGGCAGCAGGTATGGGGGGTGGGGGGCCAGGAACGGGAAGGAGACCCTCCCAAACCCAAGGTATTCACGGGCCTCTCCCCACCAAGCCAGAACCGGCCCCTTGAAGGCCACAATGTTGCTCTCTCAACTCTCCTGTAAGAGCAGATCCCACCTCTTCTCACTCCCTGACAGGCATCATGGGGGGAAGGGGGAGACACGGGACAAGGTTCTCAGGAGGTGACGTCTATGCTGAACTCTGCACCGTATCCACACATGATCTGGGACGGACACACAACACACGAGGCCCCCGTTTCTATCACTGTAGAGCAGGGGAGCTGTGGGGGACGGCTGGCCCCGTCTACCTCACAGGATCCCTGAGGGATTCACATGTTCCTTCACGAATGCAACAGACATGTGAGGACTGCTTGCCTGGCGCAGTTCCAGGGAGGGCATCCAGCGCTGAGACCCCTGCCCTCAGGACACTTCTATTTGGGGAGGGTCAGAAGAATTCGAAGACTACAAATGTTGTCACCTACAGCCAGCCCTTTAGCGCTCGTGGCCACGCAGCGGGGAAGCGTCAGCATCCCCACAGGGCCCCGTCGTCCTGACAGGGAAACTAGGACCACCCCACTGCCCTGACTTACAAGAAACCCAGATGACTAGCTGGGGAGGAGTCTGGCTTTGGGCCTGGGGGTCACATTTCACTTTGTACTTCTCATTCCTTCTGGGCTTGAGTTCCATGTCCTCCGAACAGGTCTCTGGGAGTGCTGATGGCGTGTGGGAGGTATTAGGAAAGAGAGCCGGAGCTACAAAGACTTGGCAGGCTGATTTCTGTTCTCCCATGGAATCTCTAGCACATTCCAAAAACCTTGGCCAGGCCCCCGAACAGCTTATCAGAGCAAGAAAGGACTTTAGAGCGTGTCTGATCTTCCTCCTCCTGTCAGCTAACAAAGAAAGTGAAGCTGAAAAGGAGGAGGGACACATGGAGGTCACAGAGCCTGCCAGAGGTGATTCTGAGCAGGTTCCAAGCATCTCCTCTCCTCCCCTCTGCACCAGTTTGCCTCTTAGGCGGGGCCCGCCTCTCCCCCGCTCACGCACACACTCACACTCACACGCTTCCTCAGGAAGCTCTCTCGGGCCAGAGGCTCATAGGGTCACCTCACGGTTGCAGCCACTGTGAATCTGAGAGGTCTAACGCCCTCCCTTCCCCTCCCTTGTCCTCCTGCAGGAGATGTTCGGGAGTATGTTTCACACGGAGACCCTGACTGCCCTGTGAGGGCCCAGCCAGCCCTCCATACTGTCTCCAGAGCACATGGCATCCGGGACTCCCAAGAAGAACGAGCCTGGGGTCATGAGGTAGAGGAGAGCACATCCACCAGGACCTCCGCTCCTCCCTACCCTCCCCCTCCTCCTCCTCCTCCTCCTCCTCCTCCTCTCTCCTTCCCCTGCGGGCCTCCTGGCATCTCTAGAGCCAGCCAACCTCAGCAGCAAGGAAAACCACCTCTTCACTCTCCTGCTGATGCTCAGGGCCCAGGCCAGAAGGAGAAAGCCTACAGCTCACCCCGCCACACCCACCCATGTCCTGCCCAAGGCAGCTGATGGGACCCCCACCGCACCCCCACTCCCTGGCCCAGACTGCTGCCTTCAGAATGAGCCAAGAACAGAAGGGAGAATGGGCCCCTGCTGACCTAGTGTGCAAAGGCCCTCACGCCCCAACAGCTTGGTGTCAGATGGTGTCGAGCCATCACAGGACACAGGAACGAACTTGCTTAGGACTCAACGGCTTGCCCCGTCCAGCTGCCCCAACTATGTCCCTGGCAGCTGTGCTCTCCTGGGGCCACATGCTCTCTGTGACCCAGGACTCTCAGTCTTGACTCTGCCTCCTTCCTCCTCATCTCAAGGCTACTGGGAGCTCCACTGCTATTCAGCACTTCAGACTCAAGCCAGGGGGTGGCCAGGGTCCTGGGGCCACCAGAGCTACCTCCCCTGGGGCAACCCACCAACGTAGCTGTCCCCAAACATGATCTCTCCCCGCTGCCTTCAGGGGCTGCTCCCCTCCACTTGAAACCCAGGGGGGGATCCAAAAAGGACAGGTGGGCAGCCACCAGAGTCCTCTGGCAAACTAATAACAGATGCCAGTTATTCTGCGTAAAAGCTCCTGGGAATCCTTTCTTGTACTAGAGACTTGGGGGGTAGGGTGTACTAGGGGCAACCAAGGGCCAGCTGCTGGGACCTGAGCCCTGACGGTCCCCTTGACTTCAGAAATGCCTCCCCCGCTTAGAAAATCAGCTTTCCACTGTGCTTTTTCACTTGCTGAAGAGCCAATGATTTTGACTCTCCCTTATCAGCTTGGGGCCTAGATCCTTTGGCCAGCCAGGAGAAGAAGCCCCCCGAGAGCCAGTGGCACCCCCCCAAGTGGATGCAGAACGTGGCAAAGGGCTGATCCAGATTGGGTCTTCCTCCATGGGCTTCCTTAACAAACTCAGGACCTGAAGTCATCGTCTAGGACAGATGAGAAGAGGGATACGTTCTTCATGGATGTGAGGGGTTAATTGAAGAACCCTACTGTTGACTTGAAAATAAATAGATGGTATGTGCAAGTATTTGGGGAAATTCCCATGGAAGTGCCCAGAAAACCTTTCCGTCTTCCCTCCACTGTTTCTTCCAAGCTCCTTCAACTCAATGACCCTGCCCAACAGGTTGGGCTGGCCCAACCTGGAAAAAAAAGCCCCAATTCCTAACATCAGCCTGACCTATGCTGTGTGTCTGTGTGTTGAGTGAGCCGGTCAGCTAGCAAGTCTTCTTAGAGTTAAAGGAGAGGGTGCTGGCAAAGAGCCAACAGATTCTTGGCCTACAATCATTGCTTCTCTGTGATTTCATTATGCCATCTGGCTGCCAATGGAACTCAAGACTTGGAAGGCAGAATACAATGTTATCTGGGATTCACTGTGCCCAGCACCTGAAGTGCCAAATTCCAGGAGGACAAGAACTTTAGCCAATGACAACTCATCTCCCCTACTCCACCTCCTTCAAAGTCCATCTCAGGCCCAGGAGGTAGGGGAAGGTCACAGAGCCTCAAGACATCCCAAGCGGAGGTGTCCTTTGAACCAAGTCTCCAGACAGTGGAGGTAAAATTGGAAACGCATGGGGTAGAGGGAGAATTTGACAAAGACCTCACTACCGGAAGACTTTGAAAAGAACCCAAGCAAAGTCAAACAGACCGCTGTCTGGACATGACTGAGGCAGGAAAGGAGGCCAAGGTAGTGAAATAATCCAGAATTTCAATACTTTTGAATGTTCTTCGTGATACTGACCTGTGACGATGGGATCCCCGGGGAAGCCCGGGACTCGCGATATTTGTGTAATTTATTTAATTTAAACAGCATTCTCCTTTTGTTCATTTTGGTAATAAAGTGGTTTTGAAATGTGAACAAATGCGTGTGTTTGGCGGGTTTTACATCAAGGCAAAGTAAGTCACCTCCAGAATAGGTTGGCCTTGCTTTGCTCTGTCCTAGAGGGAAACGAGGGGCTAACAGCCATCCACCAATACAATGGAAGATTTCAGGATATTTCTTTCACTGTTGGCAAATCATATGGATGGAAAAAAAAAAAAGGAGTATGATATGAAAGAGTTAAACAACAAAGTCAACTGTCTTGATCTGGTGGACATGTGTTACATTGCACACACAACATTTAAAATTTCTACTTCCTAAGTACACATAACATATTTATAGAAGTTGATCACATTCTAGGCTCTAAATCATTCTCAACAAATTTTGAAGAAGAGGCATTTTCCACAAGCAATGACCACAATACATCGAAGCTAAAAATCAATTACAAAAAGACAACTTGCACCAAAAAAGGATGCCTTTAGAATTTTTTTAAGATTTTATTTATTATTTATTTGACAGAGAGACACAGTGAGAGAGGGAACATAGCAGAGGAAAAGGGAGAGGAAGAAGCAGGCTCCCCGTGGAGGAGGGAGCCTGATGCAAGCAAGGCTCGATCCCAGGACCCTGGGATCATGACCTGAGCCCAAGCCAGACACTTAGCAACTGAGCTACCCAAGCGCACCCCCCCAACTTTAGAATTTTTTTTTTAAATACTTCTAAATAACCCAGAGTCCAAAAAGAGATCATATGGAAAACTGAAAACATTCAGACTTAAACAAGAATGCAAATACTAGGGACGCCTGGGTGGCTCAGTTGGTTAAGCAGCTGCCTTCGGCTCAGGACATGATCCCAGCGTCCTGGGATCGAGTCCCACATCGGGCTCCTTGCTCAGCAGGCAGCCTGCTTCTACCTCTGCCTCTGCCTGCCATTCTGTCTGCCTGTGCTCGCTCTCTCTCCCTCTCTCTCTGACAAATAAATAAATAAAATCTTTAAAAAAAAAAAAAGAATGCAAATACTACGTATCAAAATAGTACAGGGAGGGGCACCTAGCTGGTTCGGTCACTTAAGTGTCTGCCTTCAGCTCAGGTGATGATCCCAGGGTCCTGGGATGGATTCTCACATTGGGCTCCTTGCTCCACAGGGTGCCTGCTTCTCCCTCTGCCTGCCACTCCCCCTGCTTATGCTCCCTGTCTCTCTCTCTCTCTGTGTCAAATAAATAAATAAAATCTTTAAAGAAGGAAAAAAAAAAAAACCCTGCAGGGAGGGGCACCTGGCTGACTTAGTCAGTAGGGCATGCAATTCTTGATCTCCCAGTTGTTCAAGCCCTACATTGGGTGGGTTGAAGCCCTACGCTGGTTGTAGAGATTACTTAAATAAAATCTTCAAAAACAGAAAAGAAAAAGTTGACAGTTAATGAACCAGATATTCAACCGTGGTAGTTAAAAACAAACAAACAAATAAACTCAAAGAAATCAAAAGAAAAAGATAGTAATGATAGTATAGCTAACATTTATTGAGCTGTTACTATAAGCTTCCAAATGCTTTAGACGTATTAACTCAATTAATCCTCCCAGCAATGCTGAGGGGTACAGATTCTTATTATCCCCATTTCATGGATAAGGAAACTGAAACTCAAAAAGGTGTGTCTGTTGTTTGTTTTTTAAGATTTTTATGTATTCATTTGAGAAAGAGGGAGGTCGAGCACAAGTTGGGGATGGGGGGCTCAGAGGCAGAGAGAGAAGCAAGCTCCCTGCTCAGCATGGAACTGAGGACGAGGTGTTCCATCCTAGGACCTGGAGATCAGGACCTGAGCTGAAGGCACACACTTAACTGACTGAGCCACCCAGGCAACCCCAGACAGGTTTTATGTAAGTTTCCCACTCAACACAACTCCATGAACATGAAGGAGCTTAATATTTCCACCCAAGGGGTGCACCTGGGTGGCTCAGTCGGTTAAGCAGCTGCCTTCCGCTCAGGTCATGATCCCGGGGTCCCCAGCTCAAGCCCCACATCGGGGGGGTAGGAAGGGTAGGAAGCAGGAAGCCTACTTCTCCCTCTCTGTCTATCCCTGCTTGCGTTCCCTCTCTTGCTGTCAAATAAATAAATAAAATCTTAAAAAAAAAAAAAAGATTTCAACCCAAGTAATCTGGCTCTAGAGCTTCAGCTCTTAACTACTACAAAGTTAAAAACTTAAGTGAAATGAATAAATTGCTAATAAAATATAATTTACCAAAATGAAATTAAAAAAAAAATAAAAACAGTAGAAAGTCTGAAAATCCTCCAGCCATTAGGTAAAACAGAGAAAACACCAGGCTCAGATTACTTTATTTTTTAGAATTGTTAGAAAAATATATTATGTTTCGGGGCCAATTTCATAATATATATATAAAATTTCAGAGAATGCAAAAAAGAGAGAGAGAGGAAAGTCAAGTAGAAATAAGTCTCTCTCTCTGTAAAAGTAATCCAAAGGTAGATATGCCCGGGCTGGGATTGTCATGAGGTTCCCCTAGGACTCGGGCTACTTTCCTCCTGAGGTGTAGAACTCACCATCATGGTCCAACACGGTTGCTAGAGCTGTGGCCATCACATCTGAGCACGGAGAGAAGGATTTAACAAGAGTGTGTCTATAAAAACACCTCCTTGAATCACATGGAACACTTTGGCTTACCTTCCATTCTCCAAATGTAGTCATAGGGCAAAAGTCAGCTGCCCAGGGTTGGGAAATGTGGTCTTGCAGCTGAATATTCAACTGCTGAGCTCAAACCCAGGATTCTTGCTACTTAGAAAGAAGGGGAATGATAATGGGGTCAGCTGGAAATCTCTACTATTTTGTCTGAGATTTCCAAGGCTATTATAACACTTGATATTGAATCCCAAAAAAGACACTATTAGAAAGAAAAACTACAGGCCAAAATCAAATTCATAAACAGAATTGCAAAAATCCTTAAGGAAAAATCCA